TTTGGATGATTTTGTTGTCTGCTACCTCGATGACATTCTGGTCTTCTCCAAGAATGAAGAATATCACACCAACCATGTCCGGTTGGTATTGGAGAAGCTACGCACAGTTGGATTCTACGCCAAGCTAGAGAATTGTGTCTTCCACCGACTCCAAGTTGAATTTTTGGGCTACATCATTTTTGGAGAGGGTCTATCCATGGATCCAAAGAAGATTCAAACAGTCATTGATTGTATGAAACGAGCTACTGTGCGAGACGTACAATGCTTCCTTGGCTTTGCAAACTTCTATCGGATCTTCATCCAAACTATTCCAGGATTGTTGCTCCGCTGACCCGATTAACTTGCAAAGACAAATTGAAGTGGGATTCGGAAGCAAATCAAGCATTTGCGACCTTAAAGAATGTGTTTACAACAGCACCTATCTTGACACATCCTGACTTTTAGAATCCGTTCATCCTAGAAACGGATGCTTCTGACTTTGCCCTTGGAGCTGTACTTTCACAACTCATCAAAGACGAATGCCTCCATCCGATCGCGTTTCACTCACAAAAATTTACTCTAGCCGAGATTAATCACAAGATTCAAGACAAGGAGCTCTTGGCCATTGTTGACTCTTTTCAAGAGTGGCTCCATTTTCTCAAAGGAGCTGAACATCCAATTACGATCTACACCGATCACAAGAATCTTGAGTACTTCATGTCTGCTAAGGTATTGAATCGACAATACAAGCTCGTTAGAGTATATTGCTTTCGCGCTTCAATTTTGTCATCAGTACCGTCCAGGTTCTCAGCAAATCCGGTTTGACGCTCTTTCGCGACGAGCATATCTTGCACCCAAGTAAGGTGATGCAGCTTATGAGCAGCAGAAGACTAACCTTATCAAGCCTAAGCAACTCCAGCTCAAGACCGTGTACATTGGCAGGACTATGACGTCAGCAAAAGAACATGGGAGCTTGCTTCAAATCTTGAGAATGCTCCTAAAATGATTCAGGAGTTTCATCAGAAGTATCCTCAAAAAACAAAGAGCGTTCGAGTTCAACGGGACTAGATTGCCACCTCTCCGATGTCTCATTTAGCCAACCACATAGTCTTATACCGGTCCACAAATACTCTTGTTTTCCTCCATGCGTCTATTGCCCGCCGAAAACCGCACGACTTTTTTGCCGCAAACGCGACTTGTATCCTCTAAATTTCTTTTTCCTTTTAATCTAAGTTCACGTACATCCCACGTGATCATTTTCGTTTCCTATGTTATTATTGGCTTACAAGAGAACTAGTGGAACTCGTTCCTTGAAGGGGGAATGATGTCACAGACATGCCATACCAGACTCTACTTACCCGCCACGAGTTATCCGTGAGACACATAGATTCCATAATATCAATGATTAAGTCTACGGTTAACTCTAGGTAGTTTCTAGAAGGTTCATGAACCTTCCACTAGTTCCTAGATATTCTCTCTTGTTTTAGGAAGCTTCGCAAGCAACCACTCATTGCCTTGAAGTCGAAGCAAATCTTGGCATAGTCTAGTATAAATAGAGAGGTAAGGGACCTTGTTTGTCACTCTCTTCAATACCAGTTGTGGATACGCTTCCCGTTATCAATTTATTTTCCAATTCTTTCATCTTTGAGTCGTAGTTGAGTCGCTGTGAGGAATCCCCTCACCTCTAGTCTGTTTTCGTTCATGTTTAAGGTCTTCCTCCAATTTTGATCTTGATTCTGTCAAGGAGTTGCCGTCCGCAACAGATGTACGAGGTGAAAGACAATCCAGCTGGAGATCATGCTAGAATCTTCAAAGCCAAGTTGGTGGCTAGAGGTTTCACAAAGGAGAAAGGTGTGGATTACAACAAAGTTTTTTCACCTGTAACAAAGTATGCTACAATTCGTCTTGTATGTAAACTGGCCGCAATATTCAGTCTTATTATGTAACAGATGGATGTGATTACAGCCTTTCTTTGTAGATATTTAGAGGATTAGACCTACATGAAACAACCAGTTGGCTTTGAGGTTAAAGGCAAGGAGATGTTGGTTTGTAGATTGCTGAAATCACTTTATGAATTGAAGCAAGCTCCTAGACAGTGGAATACACAATTTCATGAGTTTATGAATACACAAGGTTTTCTACAAAGCGTGTATAATCCTTGTGTCACATGAAAACATTGAATGATGAAACGTTCAATCTCATCATTTTAGTATTTTACGTTGCCGACATGCTCATTTTGGCAAAGAGCCAATCCAATTTCGATGAATGCAAGAGTGAGTTGAAGTCTACATTTTAAATGAATGATATGAAGCAGTCATAGAGTACATTATGCATGGATATTTACAGGAATTCTGAACAAAGGAAGCTTTGGTTGATTCAGGGAAAGTATGTTCGTCATATACTTAACAGGTTCAACATGGCCGATTTGAAAGAAGTATGGACTCCTTTGCCATCACATTTTAAGCTCTCCGCAGCTCAATGTTCTACAAATGTTGTGGAAAAATGAAGAATGTTATGTGTTTCTTATGAACAAGTTGTATGCAGTCTCATGTATTTAATGGTGTGCACTATGCTTGATATTGCTTTGGAAATGGAGAAGGTGAGCATGTACATGTCGAATCAAAGGAAAGTTCACTGGAAAGCAATGAATTGGATTATGAGATATATGAAGAGTATTGTGGATTATGGCCTATTGTTTGATGGGTTATTAGACAATGCAAAGTCATTGTTTGGTTACATTGACGCTAACTACGGATAAAATTTAGACAAAATGATATCTACAACTAAATTTGTGTTTACACTTGGCGGTGGAAGCATTACTTGAAGATCTACCTTGCTGGAATGCATAGCTTAGTCAACAACGGAAGCAGAGTATGGGGCAAAGGAAGCTGTTTAGTTTGATATGCTTATCATGGAGATGGGATTGACACATGACGTGATCAATCTTCATTGTGATAATCTGAGTGTTTTACATTCGATTGCATGCATATAAGTCATGGATAACAAGGGAAGCACATCGACATCATATATCACTTTATTAGACAAGCAAAGTCTGAAAAAATAATCGAGCGATAAACTCAACCCACTTGATACGTTGACCCAAGTTATCCTTTTGGAAAGTTGCAGACAACATTGTGCTACTATGCAAGTTGTGCATAGGGAGCACAAGAGATATAATTTTTATTTATCTCTATATATTATTATCGTATTATGTTAAGGTTATGTTGTAGTTTTAGTTAACTCTCGTTTAAAAAGATGCCTTGTGTTAAGTATCTGTCTAGAACTTTCCCGGAATAATAATATAGGTTAGAGAAGTTACTGATATTACTTAACATGAGTTAAGCAAAGATTGTTAAGTAACCTCTATATATTATTACTCTATCCTGTTATGGGAGTAATAACATAGATTAAAGAGGTTACTGGTAATCTTTAACACAAGTGAAGGAAAGATTTTTGAGCATACTCTGTATATTATTACTCTATCAGTTTATGTCTACGAATTAACTCTAGTTAACTCCCATTTAAAGATTTTACTTATGTAAGGTTTCCGTTTGAAATTTCCCATGGAATAACAATATAGTTTATAGAAATTACTGAGATTCCTTAACGCAAGTCAAGGGAAGATGTTGAAATTAACTCTTGTTAAGGAGTAATCTCATGTGTAACTATTTATAGCTGAGATTGGTGGCATATGTTGGTATGTATATACCCTCATGCTACTTTGCTGCGAACATTTGTTGTGTTTTCACATGAAGTAGTAAATTTTTTCACATGAATTACTCCGTGTACGTAGCCCTCGAGGGTTAACCACGTTATACGTGTGTTTCTCATGTTGTTGGCTTGGTCATTATAATCTCGAGTTTTATCTCGTGTTTTTGGCTTGGTCATTATAATCTAGAGTTTTATCTCGTGTTGTTGGCTTGGTCATTATAATCTCGAGTTTTATCGTTATACTAAAATTAACTTTGTAAACTCAAGTGATTATTTTCAAATAACAATGATCAATAGATATATCTCAAAAGAATATGTCAATACAAAATAAAAATATAATTTTGCAATTTATTCCAATTCATTTGGATACACTAAATAAGTAGTAAGAAGATCTTGCCGTATTGTCTTTTATTCAACAACTGATGAGAAAGCATTTGACATCTATGTTAAGTGTTATTAAGTGAAAATTTGGACCAAGAAGTTATTTATTTCAACACTGAAAGATGACTATAAATAGTAAAACTGAGTGAGATATTTGAAAGAGAGAAATTTTCACACCATAAACTATTCTGAATTGTCATATCGTATCTCACTCAAAAATCCATACGAAAATATTAAGTAAATCATTGTAAAAGCACGTGTGATAAACAAATATATGGATGGATTGTACAAAATAAGATCTACTCTAAATTTCGTAGTTTGTGAGATTATTTAAGTCCTTGCGTAGGAAATCATATCCAATGATAGTGCGTACATACCTATAAAATTTGTTCAATTTGGAATTACATCTGTAACCTGATCGTTTAGCGAAGTTAAAAGAGACGCAAATCATTTCACATAACCCTAGGTAAAACTTCTTTTATATTCGGTATCAATTTCTCACATCTGTATATCGAATGGTGTCATGTCGAAAACAACGAGTTTGAGAAAACGACAAATAAGCGAAATGTGCTGTACACGAAATCTTCTACATCTATAATGTATTTATCTTTCCACACCACATAGACAGCAATGCCTAAATCTGCCCCAACCTCATGTAACACATTTGAGAATATCTATAACCCTACGTTATCACCAATGTAACAAATCATAGTTTTATCGAAAACTATCAAGCTTTAAACGTATTCAGATGAAGACTAATGCATTAATAAACATTCTCTGAGAAAGTATACTAGACACCAGAAATAAATCCGAGGTTGGAGGCTATCATCTATGTACAGAGCATACTAGATGGATGCAGCATCTACGTATGATATAAAGCGAAGAATATGAATGTCCAAAAGTATCAAAGTTCACATAATCTTCTAGTGGCATACTTCCAAACGTAAGGGCCTTCAGTTTGAGATCATTGGCACACTTACAAACATACGGGTCACGCGGATCTTCCCATGTAGCCATCACCAATTCCTTCTCAATAATTTCACCCACGCCCTCTTGAATTTCCTAGAGACGAAATTGAAATATTATATTTTCCCCCTGCAAGTTCGTGGGTACACTTTTGACCGCCGCCGAATGAATGAATCCACTTTATCCCACATAGCTCTTTCACAGAACTTACCATATCTTGGTCACTTGTTGTCAGCACTCGCAGTGCACTAGCAAAGGACTGACCATTTTTACTCTCTAAAAGATGAGACAGCGGACTTGCAAATGAAACTCTACGATAGTGGCCTCGATTCTTCAGTGTTTCGGAAATTATGTGTACCTTGAAACCTGGGATAATGGCAATACCAGCCCTGCAACCCAAATGTGCGTAACTGCAAATCTTACAAACCATAATCATGTACTTTCCAGGATCTCAGTGTTTATTTACAAACAACCTCCACATGAATATATAGAAGTGACACACATGTACTGTCTTTAGACTAGCAGTGACACAGAGTCTGGCCCAGGATTTTGGGTATCACGTCTGTTGATGGAAGAATTGAACAGAACCCAAGATAGTAACTTCCAAGTCCACTTTATGAACTATTTACAAGACCCAGGAGCTGACATTCGACCCAGCCCTCCCTCCTTTTCGAAAGAATTTCGTGGTCATATGGATTGTTAGTGAAGGATGGGCAGCCACTCAACCTCCAAACTCGTGGAGTCGAGTGCACTGTTCCCTAGAGGACTGGCTCTGATGAACTACGTACTTACAGTTTATCCTCCGTAAATGATTGTATTCCTCACGTGAACAGCAGTTTTTCGACGCTAGATACGTTTCCAAGGTCCTAAGTTGCAAATCAGTAGCACGAGGTGGTGTTTTGTGTCCAGCTAAAAAGCTGGATTCATGCCTTGGTCAAGGTAGCGTTTCATTTGGCCTGTCTCCAGATCGAAGTACGGTGTCAAGAGTGGTCTAAAGTCAAGCAGCTTGCGACGCTCTCTTCACTGTGTTAATGGAACCCACTCAAGAGCGATATCCAACTCACCGCTCTCTACATGTTGCAACTTAAGACTCATTTCCTGAGTTACCCGCCCATTTGACAACCAGATTTCACTGTCACGCACCAATGCATTATCAGAGGTAGCGAGCCACTTTCCTATCTGCCTTCTGCCTACTTCAATCTCCACACCCTCGTACATGCGGGCTGCTTCCACCATAGGATTGACGTCTACCTCCGCTTCGCCCATGATGTCATCTGCCGAAAAAGTGTCATAATCAAAAACTTGCTGCATACACGACAGACAGATTGTTAAAAGCAGCTAGCGAAAAGACTACGCAAATGTAGCTAGTGATCATGCATCTCTACATCTGCCTAGAGAGAGGAAGACTAAACTCTTTGGAAATTCACGGGAGTTGCTCCCGAGGAAAGGTAACGTTCACATAACGGCAGATCCTTCATCGCATGCTGGGTACGAAGCGTTAAGAGAATGTCACACAAAACCCGAATCTTCTACAGCAAATCACCATTCTCGTCCCGTAATTCACTTCTCACGCCAGGAGACTACTGCAGATCTCAAAGATGTAAAATACGAGAATGGGCTTTCATAGCGCATAGATAAAATTATGCGATATTCGAAGTCGACCAAGGATAAGCTGCTAACTTACCAGTTTAAGTGGGACAATTTGCTCCGGTACAGAAACCATGAGCTCCTGGTTCCACACTGGGTTTAAGTTGCTCTTTACGACATGCGTCTTCTGGCTCTACAATTACACAAAAGTTGCAAAGATGTGATACTTTTGCGGTCGATGAACTGCACTAGCTAACCTGAGCACCATAGACCCCACGCGCTGGCTGAGCTGCCCTACAAAAATCGATAAATCTGGACATTTTATCTAGTTTATCGGCGAATTCTGCATCATCAGAAGTTACGTTGTTCAGTTTCCTCATTCGCCCCTTGAGTTGGTTTCTAGTTCATGTACACAAATCTTGTAGATTTTGCTAACTTCACCGTGCCAAAGATTCGGAACCTGCAAAAACGTTGTTATCAAGGAGACCAACAGTGACTTATGAAATAATCTAGAGAAGTAAAATTGCGACGCTGGTGCGTCCAGTGCTACACACATATTTGGATAATATACAAATTAGGATTTGCCTGTCACAGCCTGAAGAGGCCCCTCGCCATGGGCGTTTCTAGCAGAAGTAGACCGGGAAGAAGAGAAAGACAGATGTGATGAAGAAACAACCTCCTTTACGATGCAAGGGACGGCAAAGGGGAGATTAGTCGTGAGATGCGGGATAACGAATCAAGCGTACAGGATAGAAAAAGTTATAAAATAACACTATCACTGTAAATCAATTTCAGTTGAATAACGCATTTAGCGACAACCTTTCGCTCCAAAAGCCTATTCGAGGTTCGCTATGGGGGTCCTTAAGCGGATAGAAACTGGAAAGCAGGAAACTGGAAAGGAGCACTACCAATGGCCAGCAAGGAATCTGTAGATCGATCCCTATCAATGAAGACAGATTATTTGGCCCAGGAAGTGGTATATCAGCCTTCGCAAAAATATCCACTGCGACACTCGGCATGGTATCGACTAATCACACCATGACCAACCCAAGCACATACTTCATATATAAATCCTACGTCCAAACCTGTTGAGTTTCAACTAACAAATTCATAGGCGTTGCAATCGTCCTAGGATCCAGAGTCCTTGTCCTTTTTAGATGAGACAACTAAGCAATCTTGGGTGTACTATGCTACACTTAGAGAAGACTGATATTTTTGTTGCTGAAAATTGTACGACTAAATCGCAGACAACTAAGATACACGCAGCTCAATGTTTGTAAGAAGGCGTTTAGACCCATGAAAATGTTCAGTAGGTGTCGATAATTTTTCGGTCATCCGAATCGAGAATACCAAACGTTTGAGAACCGTCGATAGAGAGATCACAAAAGAAAGGAAGCAACGCACTTAACCTAACTTAAATATGAAACATAAACATTTCGTATGTATAGATTACAATTGTTGTACAGCTAGATTTGACTTGCAAAGATTTACACGATCTTGAAATGAATTGCAATACAAGAAACCAACTAAATATACAGATGTACATATGTTCATATGTACCGGTATAATTAGACCAGTCGTGAGAGAGCAGTCGCAAAGGAAATGATAAAATTATCAATCAACATCACATCAAATCAAGTTATGCAAATCACATCAACTCCAGAACGTACCTGCCAACCAAGAATTGCTTTCACGTAAGGATCACTAGTCAGCACGTCTCGCACTGCAAGGTCCCTGCCTTTCAGTACCATAATTTTCAGCAGACCTATAAACTCCACCATACCGCTCTGCATTCGGAATAAAAACTACGGAAATAAGTCACAGAAAGAAGAGAAAGTAACTCTGAAGTTAGCGAAGCAAACTAGACCTCGTCTCGTCTTCTAACATTCTTCGGAGTCTTGCTAAAAGCCTGTATATATTGATGATCAAAGCAGCTTGCTAAGCCAAGATAGATGGAGAAAAAGTGCCACATCCTGCTTGAATATATCCATGTGTCCTGAGATAAAGCAGCACAGATTCTTACGTTAATCCTATCCAAAGGGGGCATCGTTGAACTTCGAGAAGGTCTTTGACGATTTGAATTTGATTCAGTCAACTTAGGCTTTCCAGAATGGCTCGTGGGGGGCTTCGGGTTCAATGAGGAATCATCTGAATGCGTATTTGTTTCGGAAGAATTGGAATCTATCGAGCTCAGTCGAGAATGCTTCATTGTAACAGAAGATCCAATCCGCAAACTTGGGGTCAAGAACTCTTGATCCTCATACTTCCGTCTGCACAGGGAAAATCACCTCTAGCTTCAAAACAGGCAGAAGTATCAATATCAACGGCCCTGTGATACTAACAATCAATCTCTTGAATTTTGTTTTTCAATCCATGTGAGGCAATTGTCATCCAGGCAGGGACGCTGTTCAGGCTATCAGTCATAGCTAACAACATAGCACGGTTCGTGAAGACAGTTACCGAATCCAGTCTGAGCGCTGCTGGACCGAGGCGTTTGAAGGAGGCCTTGAGTTATGAGGTGCATAAGCCTCATAAGTAGCATTAGCTGCATCATTTCCTCCCACCGCGAGCATGAGTTCGACTTGGTCATCCGTCCAAGTATCGAGCGTCAGAGATATGACCTGTTAAGAACACATTCTTCAAGAGTTAAGCTTTCTGGAGTGGAATATCATACGAAGATATGAAAAGTTTCAAGGGAGTTAGTTCTATGTACGGTAACGTTATCACTAGAACACCCAACAGAAAGACCAAGCAAAAGCCCCTACAGAATATCAAGTTCAATGCTTGACGATATTTTTCCAGATACTGTATCGAATCAGATCCACAGAAAGAAGTCTCATTAACGGGTGAACAGATCACAACTGCATCAAACTCCTCGCTAATTAGCCATAAGGCTGCATCTTGGAGCACGGTTTGATCTTGATGAATCACAAAGAGAATTGACCCATTGAGAAGTACTACGGGCAAGTACAGAGCAGTGTCGCAGACAGCCGACTATTAGCTGGGTACAATGACTTCCAGCAGTGATAGCGGAGTCCAAAAAATACAAAAAAACAGCAAGTTGTCAGCGTTCAGAATGTATTTATCAAATGCTGCATTATCTATTCTGGAGATGTAGAACATCCAAGATGCCCACGTAGATGAATAAAAGTTGTAAATGTATATAGATTGTACCCTACTGATGTCGACACCAAGACTTCGGTGCACACCAGAGCACTTGATGCAGATGAATACTCCTATATTTGTAGACCTGAAAAGAGCAAATAGTCTGCAATCGTTGGTATTTGCTTGCAGTAGACCTTAGACAGTAAAGTAATTTCAAATGTAAATGTAAAAACTTTCTGGCATAAAGGTGATCAAGCTTTGCCCGCATCTAGTTATTTCCAACTGGAACTATTTCAAGCCCAAAGCATGAACATCATGAAGGCACAATTATATGCTAGGAATAAGATTGCCTCGTAGAAGAATGCCAAAATGAAGAGGCACTTACGCCCACTTTGGATGGGGAGCACGGCAGTCTGCACACAACTGATTATCGGGATGACTAAGAAGTTCCTTCAGTTTTCGCATGGACTCTGTTCAAGAAAATAGAACAGAAGGGAGAGATAAGCTGCTACTATCTCTGAGTGTTCTTTGTTTGAATTGAAGAAAAACGGATGAGCGTAAACTAGCTGCTGCAAAAAGACTGTTCAAGGTGACCTTTCTCTGCTTTCCTAGAAATGTTTAGAATTGTATATGTACTCAAAACGTCGTCCGGACGAGCTAAGTACTCAATACACATGTGACGAAGTGCGGATAAGACGACCGTCGTAGAATATAAACAACACCAAACTATAAGAGCTCATCAAAGTGGCATGACATAGTGTATCCCATCTGATCGCTATATGCATATAAAAAATCTTTAGAAGCGTACGACAGAGATGATGAGTGAAAAGCAATTTTGGATCTTTCATCTGTAATGCGGAAATTTGCTCAGAAATCTAAATCAAAATACGGAACCTTCCAAGTGGGCAAGAATAAGGTCGTAAAGCAAAGCAGTTTATTTGCTTCAGAACCCTGTCAAGCTGAAAGTCTACATTGATGTCAAAACTAATATACATTAGGCGATTCTCTCTCACCCGGGGAGGCCTTGTCTTCGGACTGCCAGTCATCAGCCATTTTCTCGGATCAAGTAAACTGTCGCGATCTCACTCTTTCAAAACTGAACTACCAGATTGGACCGGCAGATAATGCTTCGCTGAAAGCAACTCAACAAGGACCTGTCGAGCATGTCAGACTCTGGAACACCATACTCCACATACATTAACATGAACTCTGGTTCGAAAGTAGCGTTGTGAAGCAGCTTTCATCCAGGACAAGTCATACTCTGCGCTGCGAGTCATCATATCCTGATCCAAAAATTTTAACTGATTCACATTCGTCCAGTTCAACACCCGACTCCAACACGCGCAATCCAAACCTCATTTGCACTCAACTTCACAGCTTCGTTGTCTTCCTCAAATTTGGCAGGCTGAACGGGAAGGAGGTTATCAGGACGGCCGCGGGGTACAGTGAAATCGGTAGACAGATAGAGTCGCATCAAATCGTCAACCAAGACAGCATCGATGAGAATTCGCTTCGGATCATGTGGATCACTTCCTTACAGCTATGAAATGCGCAAGTACTCCCCCAATACTATCAAATCAGTGTAAAAGCCTGCGCAGATGGTGCAGCACTGCTCGCAGCGGGATCGACCATCATCACAATTAACCACAGGAAGCTAAAAGAACACCCTTGACGATGACTAGACGGGCAGGGCCGAGTAACTTTCATCTATGCGCACCGGAACGTGATATGTGCATCAATATGACGGGAACTAGTCCCGAGCTGTATGTTGTATTCCCACCCTGAAAAGCCAATCTACACCCCGCCCCAGCCCGCCACCACAGCATCAGGGCCCATAGCCAGATGAGCTTCATCCAGCCCGGTCCACGATCTCACCATCCTCGCAGGCTACAATAGCTCACTCACCTACTCGTTGTCACTCGGAACATCTCTCTCCCCACCGTCGGACCCGACGAGAACCAGAGTTCGCCGGCCTCTGGCAACTCGTGCGCCTGTAAAGACTTGAGACGAGATGATCGGCAGAGCTGCTCTCCATCGGGTGATCATAAAGGCCGACCCCCGCCATCCCTCGCTATCTATCGCGGTACCTGCTTTTCCTCCCCCAGACGCTGCGTTCAAATCACATCGCCAGAAAAGTCCATCTGACGCTCCGAGTTTGAATCGCGCTTTCCACTTCTGAACCTCCCCCGCCCGGTCCCCGCGGCTCCCGAGCGATCCTCCCGTCCCTTCCCGTGCCCCAGGCACGGAAAGGGACCCCAGGCACCGCGATCACTGCCACTGCCGGTCGCCATCGTTGTCCTCGACGACGTCCGCGTCCTACATGGAGAGCTACATGTAGGATGAATGCTTCCGTCCAGCTGCGCATGCGACGCATGGTCGCTGGTGTCGCCACGGACCCCTCGGTGCATGACGACGGTAGTGCTGGAGAAAAGCTCGCGAAAGGCGGCCCGATCCCCATCTAGCCGTCCGACCGAGGCAGCAGACGAGAGACGACGTGGAGTAGAAAGCGGCCTACTTGTCCCATGCGAGGGTGCTCGGTGGGTCCGGTTCCCACCCCGCTCCTGTTCGAGAAGCATATTCTTCTCCACTCACGTTCGGGCTCGCCTGCTCTGCCGGGAGTCCGGGCATAGCATCTTCCACCGGATATCATCGTTGCCTTGACTGCAAATCTGCCTACTCTGGCACCGGGAGGTTCATTTCCTTACCTCTCGCCGGCGAGACTCGCCGTTCCGATGAGCCCTCGTCGAGTCTATGGCCTATTCTATTCTGGACGAGAGTCACCGTAGTGCAAATTTCTCCTCTACTTCTGGAGTAGCAACATATACTGGCAGCCGTTGACCACTGTTCCACTGTGCCATGTACCGATTCTTGCTATTCATTTGTCAAAAGCACCACGATGATGATATGATCTACTTAAGTGTGACTTCAGGTTCGTCGAGTTTACTTTATCCGGAATTTAGCGTTCTTGACAAACAAAAAGAATTAGAAAAGAGAGATGGAATATTACCCAAGTGAAATGGAAGCATAGTCTTGCGAACAGTGCTGACTGTTTTGTAAACTGTGTATGTTCGCAAGGATTTCTAATATACTCCAAACACTACGAAGTGGTGGACTGCCTCTTGAATTGTGACCAAAAGTTCAGAATCTATTGCCTATCTGACCTGGGGTGGAAGAGATTATAAGAAAAAAAATTACCACAGATTGCTCCTCGCCAATCTACACGAGAGGAATTGATATATGCATTGAAAACTGCATTCTTCAATATTTAGCCGTTTTAAGACTATTATTTTTCAAATGAGGAAAGGATCAACTCATACTTCGAATCATTTTGACAGATATGTGGTTTACAACCTTGGCCAATTCAAACACAACAAGAAGTCAAATTTGACTAGATTTGAGAATGTTCACTTCACATTGTGGCCTTTGGTGACACGTGTCAGTTTCGAGTAGAACGAAAGACCTATATAAAAAACTAGCCATATTCTACTGGCCTGGAAACGATAGCGAAAAAAAGACAAATGTGCAATAGTTTACTTCAGCTTGATCTCCTTAATCTCCTTCGTTCGGACTTTAAATAGCATATACCTTTAAACAGAGCTTGTCCACTCCATCACTTATTGTGTAGTGTGTAGGGGAACGAGTTACAATTCGACGAAGAACAAGTCAGTATCTTGTAGTGTCTGTAGATGACTTATTCCAATATTATCGAAATGCGCGTAATCTTTGGTCATGAGTTGACCGTTGTCGTCTGACCGGTGGGAAAGTTTGTTATGAGTTTCAATCGCTGTGGTGTTGTTGTGGACCCAAAAAATAAGTTTGTGTGTAAGCCTGAAGGGTGAACACTGCTGAATATTTCATCCTAAAGGGAATCGGTAAACATATTCCGAATATGCCGTTGACCGTTCTGATCTTCCCCTACTTTCAGGCTTTTCGCCTATCTTTCTTTCGTTCTCAAGTTTTAACTTCAGGAATACTCAAGCTAAAGCAGGAACATAATTGCTCACGCAGCTTTGTTACGTAGTCAGTATATTTCCATCCGTACGGTTCTCGATCTCACCATTTCCATGGTGGGAACGAGAAACTTTGGATAGCTTTGGGCCACCCTAGCCCATTGAGTGCTCTACTGTACCTCAGGCATACATCAGCTACGGATACAGCTTCAAAATAAAGCGCAAATGACAACAAGCCCTTCACAGAGCACTCTCACCGATGAGTGATATGTAAAAGAACCAAGGGTGGGTGCAAACTAATTGCAGGATGGAGTCCAGAAACGTAAATAAACAAAGAGCTGTGTCCGCGCCAACATTGAAAACGATCATACACTTTTATCCTCTAATCCTCTCACGCCGTGTTCCCTTTTCCCCACAAGCTACAACACCCTTTAGGCTTTCCCCGCAAGGATAGTAGGACAAAAAAGCGTTCCATGAGAACGAATCCTGCTAAAGGGCATAAAGTTGGCGAAATCGTTTTCGGTGAAGGACATAGAAATATACAATCAGGTTAATGTGATATAAAAGCACTGTAATAGAAGCAACCAATCGAAGAGCTATCGTATAAAACTCCCAGTTATAATCTGCCTGTAGTATTCCGGCTACTGCTTGCTATCGACTGTAAGTATTCCATAAATCAACAAGGTTTAGACGTCAATCAGAACAATATGAACAGCACTGCAATGTATATGAGCGCCAGAAGGTGCAAAGTCATATTCCTCATGAAGTCCTAATTGGCTCTCATGAAATTCTGAACATTTTTAGGACAACCTAGCTCCCATGGTGTAACTCGAGGTACCTCGTCAGATCATAAGTATACACATAATTAGTGGATGGGACATACTATCGATTGAAGCAAGATACGTATAGATTCAGAGATATCAAAAAAGTTCGGTATGTGACCTTTTTTTTTAATTCAGTGATCTGAAAGCCAAAATGCTGACGACGGAGTCAAATAATGATATGTCAGCACAAATCTAAATACGATTCAAAGATAAGAGCAGATTCGTAAAAGTGTCCGACATTCTCGAGTCATCCAGCGAATTGATACTTTGTTCTTCAATGTGCCTAACCAGACAAAAAAATATCTTTGACTTTTGAAAGTTTCCTGACATCGTGAATTGACTACCCCAACTCAGCCTACATGAAGACTGCTGTGAACTAACCTCAAAATACAATGGCACTGACTTGTCAGGAACCATCTAGAAAAGGGTAACTCTTATTCTTTTCACCTCTACTGACTTTTCTTTCATCTATGTTACAACCTAAGAGACTTCTGATTCAAAGTGTTCTCTTTACAAGTGCACTATGAAAGCAAGTTAAAACATACTCGCTTAATCCCTCTGCCAAAGCACTTTATTCGGACTGACTACACATAGATGGCGGCAATGTTTCAACATGCTCAGCGCCTCCTCTCTCTGGCCTCTCAGGAGTTCTACATATACTACAGCTAAGATAGCTAACGGATTTGCAGGAGCAAGTGCAACAGCTTGTGACGCCCACTGCTGGGCCTGTGACAGGTCTCCCTGCATCACTTGAACAGCTGCCAAATTCACGTACAAAGATGCTCGCGCACGAGAACCGGTCATTTTAGAAACATTCAATGAATCGGGTAAGGCTCCACTCACTACAGCATATGGACTGATACTCACAGCATCGTCACCATCGCCGCTAGCCTCACTGTTATCACCACTCTTCCACTTCGGCCCATCGTCTTCACCACCGACTGAACTTTGGTCAACTCCTGAACTTTCTACTAGACAAACAGAAAGGTGGTCTGCGGCTTCTCTTGGCCGGTCAAGCAGACACAAAGCCTCAGCCGCATACATCCGCCCCAGGAATGTGCACATCTGAGAACAGTCTGGTTGAGAGAGTAGGGTAGTGGTAGCTTTGAGAGCTTGAAGAGGGTTCTGAAGGCACAGCTCCACGTACGCTAGATCCGTCAAAACACTCTGACGGATCAATATCTGCTCTTTCTTTTTCTCCTCTTCATATGCGGCAATGGCTGCTGTTATTGTGCCACTCGTTCCGCTCGTTCCCTTGCTCTCCTTTCCATCACCACTGGGACTAACTTGAGAACCTGTTCCACTAGGACCATTGTTCGCATTACCCTTCTTGTCACATATTCCATTCTTTTGACCCTGGGCGCTTGTCGTGTCTTCCCCTTCTTTGATCTCAGAAGCTTCTGCGGCTACTGCAGCCGCGATTTCGGCTGCTTTTGCATCACGTTTATCCAAAAGATGAAGGGCCATTTGTAAGCACTGCCTGGCGTAGAGCATCGAGAGTTTGTGCTGTCTACCTGGCAATAAAGACCTTTCTACATTTGGGGACGTTTGCTCCGAATTTCCTTCCTCCTCGGATCTGCCTGGCTCGAGCTGCAACCCTTTCGTACTTGCTGTTGGAGTCAAACTCCCCGCTGGCAAAACTACGCGTCTCCACTTTCCTTCTCCTATGACAGAAACCTTTATGTCATCTCTCTTGCCAATGACACCCTCGACATTAGGTTCCAGAAGACCCTTCTCAAGTGCTAAAATACAGCACTCTGCGAGACGAAGCCACAATAACGGTTGATTGTAATACAAGGAAGCGGCTTCTTGGAAGCAACAAGCAGCCAACAGAGGATTCCCGCAAATCAGTTGCTGAAGGCCAGCATTGTAAAGAATGGCAAGAGACTTGTCTTGTGAAAAAGTGTTCAGCTTCAATGGAGACTCCTTTATGGTTGCTGCGTTTGCCACTAAGGCCTTTCGGAAATAGACCGCTGCTGTCTGGTCCTTTCCGAGTTGATGATGGATACAGCCCAAGTTAGATAAGAACAGAGCTGTCCGACCGGCCTCCACTCGACTGCTGCAGGTAGTCAAAATCTTGATAGCTTTTCTATAATTTGCTCTAGAGTACTCAAGCTGAGCCTTGAGGAGCAAAGCAGTCAAGTGATCTCGTGACAAGTTCAGCGCAAATTTCACCTCCCTTTTCGTTGCCTTCAAATTGCGCGTAAGCAATAATAGCCGAACTTTGTACAGATGCAACATCAACTTCAAATCCATAACGGGTGCAGGAAGTACTTTCTCCACGTTCGGCACTGATATTCCGCTAGACATCGGGACAGGAGATGACGATCGAATCCCTTGTGAGGCCTCGACATCCAAACTCAAACTCAACGCTTCTTCGTCAAGAACTTCTTCCGAAGAAGTGCGAGTCAAGCCCAATTCTCCAATTTGACTCGTCACTAGAGAAGACAATGCCCCAGAAGACAGGGCACTGTTGCTATAGCTCATGCTCAGACCTGTTCCGACAGTATTCAACAATTGCGTTTGTGGCAAAGGCTGTGACTGAGTAGAGGCTCCCCCTTCTGCTGGAGAGAGAGAATACCCGAACGTCTTCTCCATGGTTTGCAAGGCAGCCTGTCGTCAGCGGCATCCAACTACTTCAGTAACAGTTGGAAAAACCACATATACACCCAAAAGCACTTTCCGCTTGCAAAACATTCAACTTTGGTAATCCTAGACAATCAAAAGAACCATCTAAACACCAACTGCATAAAATTACAACCGATTAGATTTCTTACAGCTGCTTTGCCAGGTTGGCCTGATTCGAGTGTGATATCCAGCATCAAAAGGCAGACCCGTAAAGCGGCTGCCTGTGAACACGATGGAACAGGCACAAGCAGATCAAGATATGTTCAGAATTGCAAATGACAACTTCAAACTGATGTCACACACCAAAGAGTTTACGAACAGAATAAGCAGTCTCCGGTAATATACCTGCAGGAACCAATCATCTTGCGCCTAGGAAGGCCATTATATACTCCCTAATCAACTTCAAAACTTACATTTACTCACACACTATATTATCCATCACCACTGACCCACACATAATATACGATCAAAGATCTAAAGGAGAAGTCACAAGAAACCAGGCCACGTAAACACGCTACCAACATCATCGGGGACTGAATCAAAGCTCCTGTTCAATAACAAATCATTATTTACGTGGCTGCTTAGCTTCATTACAAAACTTGCTCGATATTTTGAGGAGTCAAAAGAACACCGACACCATACCTCGTCAATTGGTTCAATGTTCAAGTACAAAGGTTCCAAAACTGCCAAAGCTGCGGCATACTGTTGCAAATGGTACAAGATAACTGCCTGAAATCACATTCACAAAAATGTGTACTATGTCAAATACACTCTATTAAGACCAAGAGATAGGGTTAATACAAGAAACCTCCAACTGCTGAATTCGCTAAGCAAACTGAAACTTCTAACAGCCACCTTTCGACCACAAGCAAAGATACAACCCTGTTACAGGATTCCAACATATGAACAACAATTTTTGGCCAGGAAGATACTGCTATGAAAGCATAACAGTACATTAGAAACGATTTGTGAATACTTTTTAGATGAACACAGAAGGACGAAACTTCTAACCCAATATCATACTGTCGAATTAGAAAAACTCACAGTATTCAGCGTGGGAATAGAAGTATCATAGTCTTCTGTGTAAGTTACACCATCCCCTCCCATCCCTACAACAGTAGCAGTGGGTGTCTGTACTTGCGTAGCAGTCGCAGAGGCTGAAGCATTAGCCCGTGCCGCAACAGAAATGCTTGCGGATGGGGTACCCAGCCCTTCTAGCTGCTCTTCGGCAGCCCTTGCGAGCTCTTCACTCCTGCCCTGAAGTTCGTCGGAAAACCACATGTGAATTACAAACAGATTTGAATCTACAAATATATGATGTGAAAGCTTACTGATGTTAAACCATGTTGAACCAGTCCATCAGCACCATCATCAGCCTTGGTCCGACGCAAAATTCAAAATTCAGGTTTATAACTGCTCATGCAAATTCAATCGAATATACATATTGTAATCCCGCAAGACGTATCTGACAAGGAATATTTATTTCGTTTGAAAGGTTTAAAAAGATGAAGCCTTACATCTACTTGCACCAAAACTTACTAACCCTAAATTCATATTACTGCCAAGGGCAAATGGGAAGATGTTCAACGCATGGACTGAAAACATTCTGAACAAAAAACAAGTTGAAAACTGGAAGGAATGAGAGAGATTTCCCGGAAATTGACGTTTAAGAGAGTTCAGAACGCATGTTGGGCCACTAAACTCAATAATACTGCATATTGCATAACGAACGGACGACTTAATCTACACCTACGCATCAAGCAAACCAAAGCCAAGCCTCATGCATTGGTTTCGACTGGGCACAATGAGCGAACAAGACAACGAGTCCCAAAATGGTGATAGCGCAACACACAACATTTCCAAACACTAACAAGGTGAATTTGATTACAGCTATTTTCAGCATTTCCAAACGAATTACCTAAATCAGAACCCAATGTAGTAGCTTCACTATTCTAGCCTTCAAGAACATGCCAATCATCAAGAATTGCATGATGACAGTAAAGATGAGGCTGAAGAAGGGGCATAACGTATTGTCATTTGTTATTTATCATACTACTGAAGATCGTTCTGCAAGAATGTTACACCCAGATGGCCTCAACGACAAAGCTCCTTAAGTTACCCGCAGGATATCCTAATTTTAGGTTATACTGAGGGCTCTTTCTATATAAAAATGAGCCTGCTTTGTTTGTTGATGGTGTACAAAGCTATCTTCGACGAATTTCGTATGGTCTCAATTTCACATCTCTAAACCTCCTTCAGACCAAAAGTTTGGAACAGCTGGAACAATAAATGTTCACCCGCAGGAACTTACCACGCAAAGGAGACCTAAGTGTAAAGGGCTGGGTCGTTCAGCAAAAATCTACAACAAGAACATATAAAGGGCAAAAAGGAGCTCAGGCTACAAATGGAATTTCACAAGGAACAGATGCAGATATCAGTGACCAACCTTGACTTTGGCCAGGACATCGAGTAGCTTTTGGGGATCTGTGCACCCATCTCGATAATACTCAACGACCGCAATGTTGTGCAGCACCTACCACAAAACAAGTGAACAACCGTTGATCTTACAAATAGAGGTCAATCGAAGACATATTGAATACCAAAAAAAGGTATTGATGTTTAGGCATCAATCCAAAACTGACATCGTAAATGAACACAGACAAAACTTTGAGCCGAACATTGAACGCCGATGCGGTTCAATGGGTGTCATTGCGATTTCACTTCTCTTCATCCCCAAAGCAGGAGAACGAAAGCACCTACAAAAAAACGAAATTTCACAAAACCCCACAATTGCACCGAAGGCGGCAGGAGTCTTTGCCGAAATAGCACCATCAACAGACCTTCGGATCGTCTTCTTTCTTCTGAAGTAGCTGTTGCAATATGGCTAGACACTCCGTGTAGCGCTGCGCTTGGAAAAGCCGAGCAGCGTCATTTGCCTGCCCGGCGACGGGCGACGAAGAAAGTGACCGCACTTCATCCTGCTGCAGTTGCTGCTGTTGTTGGGACAAGCTAGCGCCAGCCGCGCTGCTCCCCACCTCGCTTGCCTCCATGACAGCACCAATTCTTCGTCTCGCTCCGATTCAAAAGCTCCCACTCCGACTACATACCCCTGATCGCTCAAGAGCGTGCGCGAAGGCAGAAGAGTGCGGGACGGGGCCTGTGTGCTTAACCCCACCACCACCTAGAACTCGACGAGCAAACAACCCTGTTTTCTATCACCTCCCCTCCCCAACACAGTACACCGCTGTACTCAATTGCTTTTCTTCCCCCACATGGCGAGATCCCCTTCCCCGTCACTCCTTCCTTAAGCCCATTCGATACTTTGACTAATTTCTCTACGTCGTAAACCTCCGCCTCCTTCAGAGTACTTTCCGTCCCACTGAGTAAAACTGCCAGCGCAGACTAATGTGTTGTTTCAACACTTTCAAGTTTTACTCCTGCATATGAAATGTGACGCTACACAGCGCTTGAGTTTCGGTCTCTCCCCTACAAGACGGAGCACTCGACTACGTACGAAAATGTTACACTACGACTGCAACCTACTGACTCCCATTTGGCAACTGCGGTTCGGAGGCAACTGGATGCTGTCGTCATGCTCGCTTCACGTTTGACTCTGTTTCTATTGGATTCTCAACTACTGTAGTTGTGAGTGCTTCTTTGACACGCCAGTTTGGTGGCACCTCTAACTTCTCATCATTGGAACACTCGCTTTCTTCCTTCCTGCCGGAGTGATCTCCAAGGACCCGGCACTCTAGACTGGAGGAGGAGAGAAAGGAATTAGCAGATTGGCAGTTCAGAGGTTTCCTGTTTTTGTCACTCAGAAATTATTAAAGAAGATGATGTATTTCTTTTTTTACTTCATTCACACTAATCTAGCAGATGCCCGAATTCCCGGAAAAAGATAGTATTAGGACTGATATGAAAATCTGCTTATCGATTGATATGATACCACTTCTCAACAAAATTGAGCTGAATAGAAATTTAAAAAAAACCATATCTCTTTAAAATGTTGTGATAGTTAAAATAGTTCCTTTTATGCTTCTAGTAGTTTTGCCTCATCCATCTGTCGCCCGTTCATGTCTAATGACTTCACCACATAGATGTAAGTAGTTTCTAAAATATCTATGTAGGCTATTCTATTATAATCTAGGTTAGTCCGAACCTTAATAAATTGGAATGTTATTATCCATTATGTTTGAACAAATAATGTAACTTAAACCACACTATATAAGGATCTACTTCATACTTGGATTGATGAAGCATCAACTCTAAAATACATTTGGGTTAGTTTGATCATTACAAAATACATGGTTCTTACATATTTAATATGCTTGCAATTGATTAGGTTCATAATAAACAAATATTGCTTTGACATATAGGCAAGGCTATTTAATTTTGAGATCTCCCAAAATTACCAAAAATAAGTTAATTTTGGGACCATTTCAAAGTTATTTTTGGAAAATTTGGAATATGGGAAATATAGGAAGTAAAGCTTTATTTTTTATTGAATCGAAACTACAAACGCATCCACTGTTTACAATGCATTATTTCTTCAAGGAAGAAGTATGTTAGACAAATCCTATATTCATACTTATCCCACCCGGAGATAGAGAAATCAGACTCGATTGAAGCCATACTCGGAAACATAGTGGTAATGCCACCACAAAATTGCTCTAAATATATGAGTCGTACATTGGTAGATGCTCAGGCTTGCTGGAAGTTTTGTTGACATTCACTTTCATTACATGTGTCCACAAAGTACTTAAATGCAGACTCCTCGCGGTAAGCCAGCTTCAACTTGACAAAATCTTAACCAATCTAGTTGATTTGTTATCTGTTGTATGTCTCTTTCAAATAGTACTTTTGGGAATGAAGAATACTTGCGAAAGCTCTCATATCAACCTTGACGAGATGAAAATGTAAGACAAGAGTCAATTACTCCTTGGCTTCACTAGCAGAATCAGGCTTAGACACGATTGATGAAATTCCATTTGCGCCTTCGAAAAACATTCGTGTTACAACATGAACCAATCGAGAGATATCTATCTCTAGTAAGTCAGCAAGAGTGTCATAAATCCAAATTGTCTGAAAAATCAAGAGAAATCTACCGCTTTCAAGTCGGTGAAAGTGTCATAAATCCAAACTGTCCTGACAAGCACGAGCGTGACCGTGTGTAAGCGCAAATTGACCACATATTTCAATTTTCAATGAATTGAATTAATTGATTTCTTCCTAGCTTAATGGGACCTTCATTCCACTCATTTGGCAATATGTTTCCATCAAAGCCAATACACGGCAACGTTGCGAAGATAGCAAAGTATTTAGCCCTTGTAAGGAGACAAACATGGAGTTCGTTTCTTCAACAAAAGCAATCAGAGCAAATAGAAACATCCATCATATGAAATGGGGATTGCACGCACGTTGCTTTTGGTCTAGATACTGTCAAACTCGTACGCAAATCACGCAGAGCCACCTTGAGACTTTTTACATTGATAGTTCGCGAGTGTTGGCAACTTTTGGACAGGTTACTCTCATATCATTGACAAGATTCTATTGACAACGCAAATATCTAATCAGTGTAGTTAGTATGAAAATAAATGTTCTGTACAATCCTCTTTGAAAGACGACATAAAAGTTGTAGTCCGCAATAAACTCAAATTATTTCTAACTGGATAACTTTCTCAATGCGAGTTATCAGTCCTCAAATCCGCCCAATCATGGTTTGATCACCATTAGTGGACATTCCAAGCATATGTTTCCGCCAAATAGGCAGCAATGCATACAAAAAATTCTCCAATACAACAAATATGTTTCTTGTTATATGACGATCTAACAAAGGTATAGCAAGGAGATGGAAGTTTTGGATATTAAATTCAATGTTCACCCAAGAATAAACATCAAGATAAGACATAACTTCATGATCATAATAATCTAATGCAATGAAAACGTCCATACTTATGACATCACATCCAAAAGTATTTGAAGTGATACTACGTAGACGATTCTTGAATAATTTGATGACATGACATTGATGTCATTGCTGCTGCCTTCTAGATATAATGAACTGGTTTGCTCTGGAGTCGCTTGCAACAAACGCGATGCCAATCAAAAAGCGGCATCGCATTTCATGCATCGGATACAACAAAAATATTATTCCGCTGTCTTGACAACGACCACATATTTGTACCTTTGAAAGTCATCATCACTTGCATTCTCAACAGATCGCAGTTTGAAATGAGATAGAGCCCGAAAGTGAATTACTACTTCGACATCATCAAGATGTAAAAACAACTCCCAAATGATAATTTCTACAATGTAATTATTGATCAAATAGTGTAAAAAAGCAACACCCGCGAAATGAGCAATCACAAAATTATACACAAAGAATGCTTTCTTCACTTGAGTAGTCTAGAGTTTTTTATACTCTTTCCAATTTTGTACATGTTGCGTTTTGATATGCGACTTGTAGTAAATAGTACAAAACAAGTCGTAATATTTCATATTGACCGTGACTTTTTGCTTTTTGCCAATTTACTCCTACTTTTCAATGACAATCCAAAAGCGACCAGCGACGTTGGAGATCGCGCATGTTTACGAGTCTTGAACAATGATGTTCAAATCATACTTGATCGCATGTTCACGCTAAACTATAGATTCTTCTTAATATACTTTGGAGTCATTGAAAAGATATCGGAAGTAAATCAGACTAAGTATATTACTTTTATTGAAAGAAATAAAAGCAAAAATTGCTTCTAAAATGTTTACAAGTAGAATGATAAATGTTTACAAGTAGAAAGTTATTACGAATGATATAAAATAAAACTAAAGAATAATCAGTGAAAATATGATGGTGATTGTTTGTGTTTCAGACAGACAACCAATCACGAAGTTACACGGTATCACAATCTACCAATCATATCAATATTTTAGGGGCATAGGAGTGAATTAGATCAAAACCGACCCGACCGGCACAAGCCACAGACTTCCTAATTTTTGGAACAATTTTGAAGTTAATATTGGAAAAATCAAGAACTACGCTATTGATTGCCAACATTAAGTAGTTATGCATATAGTTCATTCTTAAAAAAATCTTATGATATTACCTTGAAGATTTAAAGTCAAAAATAATTCTTATAAAAAAAATTAAATTTCGGATTAGTAATCATTAATAATTGTCAACAAAAATTTCAACCCATAAAAAGCCAAAATTTTGGATCTTGGTATTTAATGATGTATAGCAATAAATTAATTTCAAAAATTATTGAAATCATCATATTCAATAATTTTGTATTCAAAAATTAAATCAAATTAAATATCTTTCCAAAAATTAGCCCAAATTTTCATGAATTAACTTTTAATGAATTTTTTTAAAGAAAAAATTCAAATTAGTCCTAAGAATAAAAATTTAAACAAGTGAAGATAAAAATAATTTAAGTTTATAAATATTTTCATGTATATTTATTTACTGATTCAAATTTAATCTTAATGATAAAAAATTTGTGAAATATATGTTATCAACATAATTTCATTTTTAAATGTTATTAATTATTTCAATATATATCATTTATTGAAATATATTTTGTAATTTAAAAGTCTACTTATTTATTCTAGAAGATTCCAACACTTTGAAATAATATAAGAAATTGAAAAATGTAAGCACTGTTTTTTTCTTTACGAAATTATCTCAAATTGATTAATTCATTAAATTTTAAATTTAAAAAAAATAATCATCATTTTTTATAAAAAAAAGTTAAAAATATATAAAAAAAGTTTTCAATCTTTAAATAAAATTTGTAGATACATATGTATGTGAAAATAAAAAGATAATATTTATGTAACTTTATTTTAAATGTGAATTTTAATTATTTAAAAAAATGCAAAGTATATTTATACATATATTTAAAAAAACTCTATATGATATCTACATATATAGTTTAATTCGTTTAAATTTTTTAATATGTTGTTGAATGAGATGAGTATTTAAGTGAGTTGAAAGACAATCTTTATGTAATAAGTATGCAAAATTATCAATAAAATGATTTGAATTTATATATACATGTTATGTTTGTTATTTTTTCAATTTATTATTCTAATAATATAAAGATGAGTGCAATATAATATATATGAGAATTCAAAATTATGTATGCATATGAATAAAGCTCCTGAATTATGCAATTAAAATGCTAAAAAAACTAAAAATTCATTAAAATAAAACACCAAGCACGTAGTCTACTAAAATAATATGTGGTTCATTTCAATGAAATAAAATTCATTTGAACACACATATCTGATTGAACTACCTAAAACTTCATTGACAATTGTTATAAACACTTTATATAATAATATGTTAGCTAAAATTTGTAACAAAGGTAAATGTGATCAGAGTTGATTAAAACTTGAATTAAATTTTAACAACCTTTATACTTATTCACAAAATAGTTAAAGGTTTCAATTTAGAAATATTATAATCGATAAAAACCTCAAAATTTGATGAAAAGGGCCAATTCTTTTAAAATGTATTATAAAAGCCAAATATATGTTATTTTTTACTATAGAGTAGGGTATATGTGAATATTTAATATGAATATATAATGTAACCAGCTTATACACATCTTATACGTAAACATCTTATGATTATACATGACATGAAATATATTTCTTCAACACTATTTATAAAGCAATATTTATTTCATAGATGTCTTTACATATGAAATCATATATTCCAGATGATGACAAGATTAGTATGATTTTATTAAATATATGAATAATTGATGATAATATATTTTTAAAATTATTGATATCAAAATTGTTGAATGAATGTTGAACAAATTATCTAAAAGATTGCTCAATGACATTATATTTCATGCAAAAACGTCAATTTACACCCCAATTTACATGCAAAATGTTCTAAATAAGCCAACTAACTTGGATTCAATTACAAGCATCTGCCAAATTTCATTGTTGATATGAAATAACAATGAAGTGATTACGAAAAGGAAAAAATTCTATCATATTAAATTATATGATTTGAAAATCATATTTCATGATGAGATAATGTAATATTAAGAGCTTTGAGATTTTGATGCACATTGTAGATTATCAAATATTTATTTTAGTTTTATATAAACTGTTAAAACCTAACAGTGTATACACTGAAATATAACGAGTGCAAAAGTATACCAAAAACAACAATGAATAAAAAGAATATATACTCATCAATCACAAACCTACATCTTCATAATTGGATAAGATGTAATTATCTATGCCAAGCTTTTCATCAAGCCCTCAAAGCTTGATGACAGATAATTATTTTTTTAAGACATTTTGATTGAGAATTAGAAAAATTATAAGTAAAAATAATAACAAAAATATTAATGAGTAGAAAATTAACCGGATTATAGTATTCAAAATTTGAATGTATACATGTGAATCATATATGTGAAATAAATCAACATGAAATTTTAAAACTTAATTTTGTCTAAATTGATTATAAAGATGCTCAAATATCATCCATCATTGGCCCTGAAGTTAAAGCATTGAGATTATGCACGAATATCAAGCAAAGTGTAACAGATATGTTGATTGCTCCAAGCAATATCTGATAGATACTACAGTAAGATCCATTTGAATATGTAAACAGGTAGTATTATATTCCAAAGAATTGACTAGAATTAAATAAAGGTTCGTTGCATCATTGATATTCTATGAAGCTTGACTCATATTCAACCTGAACTAAGAGAATCTTAACCTACATATGACTATTCTTTAGTCTATGTAACTAGACTCAAGAACCAACACAAATCTAAACCAAGAAAAATCTCAACTTATTTTGATTAGATTGAATGCACATACAATGCAAATTACTCTAATGAACAAAGTCTTCATGTTCGAGCTATTATCTTTTTACTTTCAAACTGCTAAACTTTAATATAAAATGTACACCATCATCAATGTTGAAAAATAATAAAAATTTGTAGCATCTGTCTTGATTAAACCTGGTGAGAGAATCTTAGAGGTTTATTTTAAAAAATAATTCAGGCAGATTATTGGTCATATCAATAAAGAGTTTAAGAAACATCTTTGAAGTATGTTTTGAGTATCTTGGGTTTTGTAGCAGTCATTTTGGGATTGAATGAATAAGCATTAACACCTTTGATTTTCCATAAAACTTTCCAGTTCAATGTGAGTTCAAATAGCAAATTAGGAACTTCGACTACAATGGACTTGGTTTTTGTGGTTTGAAACCCAATATCATGATGGATACTTGAAATATATAAAAAAATTTACTGGTTGACTCACTGAAAACATGGTGCTAGACTTAGATGAAAAGCTGATGCGCAAGGTTGAAGATCATTCTTAGAAATTTGACAAACAAATGAGCAAGTATGTGGGGTAAAGTACAGAGATGTTGTAAGAATAAGACTCTATACCTAATTAATTCCTAGTAGTTCAAGATCTTTGCACCTTAGGTCCAAAAATTTAAGATTGATGCTAGACTTGGAAAGATTACAAATAAATAAGTTACTGCACATCATGCTTGATCTTTACCTCATATAAAGAGTTATATGGGAATGTGGTCAGGATAGCTAAGTGATAACATGCTACTCATTCTTTACCATACCATGAGTTTATGAATATCTTGATGAAGGGTTGATCTGATGAAGTCAAAGTATCATGAGCAGGACTCTGTACATTAGGCATATGCCTATTCGTGCCTAATATAAGTATATTAGGCATACAGACGAAATAAAATTAGGCACGATTAGGCATCATTGTTTACATACAATATGAGAGTTAGAAAAACCTTCTTACTGATTCTATCACATTCAAACTAAGTTTACAAATGAATGATACAGTTTCAGCAAGTTCTAAAGCATGAACTTGCTCTCTGAAAAACATAATATTTCAGTGATATTCTTCTTACTCATTCTATTACATTGAAACTAAGTTTACAAATGAATGATACGAATGACACAGTTTCAACAAGTTCTAAAGCATGAACTTGCTCTCTGAAAAACATAATATTTCAGTGATATTCTTCTTACTCATTCTATTACATTGAAACTAAGTTTACAAATGAATGATACAAATGACACAGTTTCAACAAGTTCTAAAGCATGAACTTGCTCTCTGAAAAAACATAATATTTCAGTGATATTCTTCTTACTCATTCTATTACATTGAAACTAAGTTTACAAATGAATGATACGAATGACACAGTTTCAACAAGTTCTAAAGCATGAACTTGCTCTCTGAAAAAACATAATATTTCAGTGATATTCATTAGAAAGAATATCACTGAAATATTATATATGGAATAAGTAAGAAGTGATTATATCAAATTGAAACTAAGTTTACAAAAGAATTATACAATTTCAGCAAGTTATGAAGCATGAACACTCTCTGAAAACATAATATTTTAGTGATATTTGTAAGAAAGAATATCACTGAAATATTATATATAGAATAGTAAGAAGTGATTCTATCAAATTGAAACTAAGACTCCTCTACTGTTGGACTCCTGTTGTATAGAACTCTGCTCTTTCTGAAACATCAAAAAAGTTACTGTACATCAGTACAGTGAAGAGGAAGAAATTGTATTTTGACATCAAGAAAAGCGTCACGACGATTTATCAGAAATTGAGAAATCTGCGTGTGTATAGTCTGTACACAAAGTTTTCTACACCTGAGATAACGCGCACTTCAAACGGAGCACGCGAGCCACGCGACTCCTCTCCTTTCTTGCGTTGAGTGTTCGAGAGAATTATATTTCTTCCCTTGAATGTTCGCGAAATTCTTTTGAAGATTAGAGATTCGACACCTATGATATTAGACATCTATTTTTAGAATGCCTAATGTACAAAATACAGATCATGAGTATATGTGTTACTTGGGACCCTTTGGCTATTTTGCCACTCAGAAGCAATCCCATTGTTTTGAGATATTGAAAACATACTTCGGTTGAAAAAAGACAATAGATAAAAAACAGGCAAATACTGTATTCTAATATTAGGAAGTGGGTCAGACTCCGATAGCATTATAAACTTCAACACATCTGATCAAAGCAACCTCGCGCCCGTCTATAACTTGGTTACTCAAAGCCGCGGGTCCCACCATGTTGCGCCAAACCTTGGCGACCGTCGCCAAGTATCCTACATGGAACTGGAACGCGAGGGGAGCCACGACCACGACGTTTCCTGGCACGCCCAGCGCTTCCTCATGCGTTGCGTTGGTCGTGTGTTCTGGCGGGAGAATGAGCGAAGTTTTCCGAACGAAGAACTGAATGGTCATTCGTTTCATTGGAATACCGAAGCAGGACAAAAGTAAGACCATGGAGCTGACTCTGACTACGTAGAAGAAATTAGGTGATGCGCGACGGGGAAGTCGGTACTTCGAAAATCTTTGAGGGCCAGGGAGGCTGGATGTTTTACAATCGATTCGTGCTCGGCAGCGTTTGAATTCTAGAGCTTGAAAGGGGCAATTTGACGAGGCTAGGCGATGATCATTGGATAGTGGGGGGTTCGGAGAGAGGAGCATGATGTTACAGGAGAAGTGAACCGTGTCACTTCGGCTAAATTGTGTTAGAGAGAGACATTTTTTGGATTGAGATAGGGACATTTAAGTTTGAAGGTAGAGAGAAAGAAGATGGGGATCGGAACAGAGGATCCCATGGACGTGGACATGGCAAATTCGAAGATGGAGTGGGATACAGCGGAGGGACTGAAGCTTTCTGCAGCCTTGCAATGGAAGGGCAAAGCTGGAGGAGCCCTGCCTGTGAAGAAAATGGGCCCTTGGGTAGAGAAGTATCGACCCACCAATCTTTCCGACGTGGCCGCACACAAAGACATCGTAGATACGAGTTCAGCATTCAACAATTCAACCTTTTTGTCTTCGAGATTAGTTTTCATTTTTCTTCCATGCCTCGATGTCACTAACTGGCGTCTAATAAATATATCTATCGTGGTCTTTTTCATATGCCTCTACATGCGTACTGCGCTCTCGAAATCCCGTTTTCCTTAACTTTCGTAGGAATAATCATGTTGTAATTGTAAGTAGAGATGCTTAGTACGAAATTTCATCAGATCTTCATGTGATGATGTCATAACTGCTGATCAACGCGAAGACATGGTTCGTCTCGATTGTAAGGCACTAATTGCAGTTAGGGCCAGTATTCGGATTCCAGCTCTCCTTTGAGCTTCTTTAGACAGAGGTAGAGAGAGAAATTGAGCCACATCTTAATAGAGAGTCTCTTCGCAGTTGATCTGGCACAGTTTCTCTGTCTGTGAGCAAGAATTTTTGTGCAGAATTCTCTTCTCTCGCAAACTCTATTGTATGATTCCTCCGTCTGAACAGATTAACCTGCATTTATCAAAGTAACTTTGATAAACATCTCTTTGACCGGTTTCTACCCTACCGCAGTTGATCGGCTTACCGGAGAAAACCGGCTGCCACACCTTCTACTCTACGGGCCACCTGGTACGGGTAAAACTTCAACAATTCTGGCTGTGGCACGCAAACTTTATGGAGCTCAGTTCCAAAATATGATTTTGGAACTTAATGCGTCAGATGACCGTGGAATCGACGTTGTGCGGAACCAAATTCAGGACTTCGCTAGTATGCAAAGTATTTCCTTTGGGTAAGCCGGGTGCTCATGTCTGTTTGTAGGAAGTGCTTGGTCTAACGTCATTGAAGATTAGTAAATGATAGCATTCTTCAAAGTTGAAGCTGCTGTTAGAAATTTTGCGGTTCTGCATGGCTTGGAGATTGTTTGCTTGTATCTGAGTGCTTTGGGTCTTGGAATCAAACTCTCATCTACTTCAGACTTTTATGCTCTCCCAACTATGTGTTGTGTGTATGATTCTGGTAGTGAGTCTTTTGCTTTTGTCCCTCCAGTGCCAAACTCAATGTCAAGCTGATCATACTTGATGAAGCCGACGCTATGACGAAGGACGCACAATTCTCGCTTCGTAGAAGTGAGTAGTCTCTTTGAATTTGTCGAAAGTTTCGTGTCATTTTCGTGGAAGCTCGCACCACTGTCATATGTATTTGTGACGAGATCAACTCATGTGGTTATGCATCACAATGCAGAGCTCTTTTTGCTCACAGTCCTTTTGTTGTGCAGTTATTGAGAAGTACACCAAAAGCACTAGATTTTGTCTGATATGCAACTATGTGAGCAAGATCATACCCGCCCTTCAATCTCGGTGTACAAGATTCCGTTTTGCACCTCTTGAACCTATACATGTCACTGAACGTCTACGATTTATCATCAAAGAAGAAGGGTACGTTTCTGTGAGGTTGATGGACACACTATATTGGCTTGATGGATATATTTTCCCTGGAACTTTGGTCAATCTCCATGAGTCCTCTAAATACCACAAAACTCATTGTGTTTGATTTATATATCGAGTGTTGTCGCCAAAGTCTGAGGAGCTTTTACTCCCTGGAGAGTAAGCTGTTTAACTCGTGTCATATGTTGTTGTTGTGTACACTAAAAGGTTGACCGTAACAGAAGGCGGTGTTAAGGCTGTTGTGAGGCTAGCTGCGGGTGACATGAGGAAAGCTTTGAATATTCTCCAGGTTTGTGGTTGTTTTTGTTTCTTCTTCCCTCACTGAAGTACAAGGAACTTCTTCCAGGTTGTGCTTATAGGTTATAGTTTTAGAGGATTTGTGAGTCAAATGTTTTCATGTTTCAATGTGTTGTAGTCTACATATGTGCTTATACTATTAAGTCTCAATAACTTTCAGTATGTCGTTAAAGAGTCGTTGAGTATCTTGTTTGTGCATAGCTCCGGCTTGGATCTACCTCCTGTGATACAGTTAGCATAGCTGAACTCTTATTCCCCTTGGCGAACTTGCAGTCTACCCAGATGGCATCACCTCATGTTACAGAGGAAGCAGTATATCAGTGTACAGGGAACCCGATGCCAAAGGATGTTCAAGCAATTTGTCACTGGCTACTAAATGAATCTTTCACCACAGCTTATGAGAGTAAGCTGGCTGCCTTTGGTATTTTCAAACAGAGTTTACAGTAAATTGTATGCAGATTGTTGTTTTTGGTGATATCATCGTGAGCTAATGTGGATACGGGTCATGTCTGAATGTCGACGCGTGTGTTATCTTATGCCAGTGACCTTGAACGTTGTCTTGTATCTATGCGGCAGATATTCAAGAAATGAAATCAAATAAGGGCCTGGCCCTGGTTGATATTGTTAAAGAACTTCTCGCGTAAGAACCGAGCTTCTTGCTTTTCAAACATTTCTTGAAGTTGTTGCATTATATCATCAATTTTACAAAATCTCTGCATATCGGAAATTTAACCAGAATACCGGGTTTTGACATCATGGTTGTAGTATTTGTGCACGTCTATGCGTTTTCTAACGAAATGCTGTTGATATGCAGATTTGTATTTGAAATCTCAATGCCACCAGAAACTAGAGCACAGGTTGTTGAAGCTCTTGCTGATATTGAGTACGTCTCTCTCTTTATCCTCTTGGGATGTGTGCATATTCTGTCGATCAAAATGTAGACCAGTTAGCAATATATCTTCCTCTCTTGCCTCTGAAAGATGACCACATCTGAAAAACTGAGGTGCATTTCAGTCATTTTGATGATCTAAAACTGCTGTTTTGATATATGACAGATATAGGCTCGCCTTCGGGACAAGTGAGAAGTTACAACTTGGAGCTTTAATTAGCGCCTTCACTCACGCCCGTGTGGCTTTGGTGGCAGTTGCCCAGTAAGGTTATGGAAAATCGCCGCCTTGAGTGTAAATTACTTGAATAGTTGCCATTAGTCCTTTGAAGGGCTTACAGTAGTTGTACCTTGGAAGTTAAGATCTTCTGTGATGTGGCGATCATTCTCCAAAAAAGAGCTTCTTTGCGTCTCGAAAAGCTTCATGATGATTGATGCCAGTGTACCTGGTGGAGTAGGCCCCACCAGGTTGTAGGCTCCAAGTAAAGTTCCCGATCGTGCCGCATACAGTTTGCCTAATTACAGAGGAAAACACCGATTATCGGTTTGTATATGTTGTGGCTGAGGAAGAATGTCATGATAGGTACATCATATAACCAACGTAACTGTTTCACTCTGAAGCAGCAGTCGAAGGCGTATCATCAATCTCAAGGCCATCCTTAGTGAGTCAGACAATTGCGTTTGTTTCTCAGTTTCTGTGATCGCCTAGCCTCCGGTGACCTTGAGTACTGCGCAACTGCAATCAAAGGTCCTCCGATAATAGCATATTGCCTTACAGTAACCAGTGGAGAAACCCATACTTGTACTTGGATGTATGGCCAGGCAGTCGAGCCCAGTCGTCTCTCAGATGGTTTTGAATTTCCACAGGATGTATATTACTGTCCTCTCTTTGACGGGTTAAGAAACATCTTTGACGTATCTGAGGTGTCTGTTGCAGACAATTCCTGGATACAGTCCTGGAGATGAAGTCCTGTGCCTCTAGCAAACCTTACTATTGACGTTTTGCTTACTACAAAGTCATCTCCATGTATCAAGTGGTATATTCCTGATCGCCCCTTCCTCTATGTAAGTTTGAAAAGTAATAATGTCACATCCCACGGAGAAGGCCAAGGGTTACACTCTCTGATGCAGCTTCCAGTGTGCTTGATCTCTATTCAATCACCACAATCACCAACAATTCACAGGACGTCCGACAACAAAATCTGTAAACAGGTCAGCAAACCACCAACGGGAGAAAACTGGCTTCAAACAGCGTGACCAATAACCAGGAAATTTCATGTCAGATACTTATGTGAAATCTGCGACTTGTCTAGCAGTCACCTTGTACCGATACATTGCAACTGTCCGCGGTGACTACTCAAGACATCGAAGTCATTCATCCTACACCATTTTATACGTGCTTCCCAAGTGTCTATGATATTTATTTCTAAGCAAATGCTCTCAGGCTTTGAAGAGTGTTCATAGACTCAGTAACAACTGTGCTTACCTAAACATCTGCCCATCTGATGTGTACTAGCTGAAAATGGCCTCGTAAGTTGTTCCAAGTGGAAAGGCAGATGCGCTAACGTAGATGTCGAACTATCACGGGCGAATGTAGAAAATTGTTTTAGGTTGAAGTGACAGATTGATGTGTCGACGCTCATTTGAAGGCGGCTCCGACGACTAAACGTTCGCTCTGGAAGGCAATCTCGGTGACACGGTTCGTTGCACCGTACGTCTATGAACCTCTATCGTACAAGGCACATAATATCATAACTTTGCGGTACCGAGTAATTCAAGCACTTCAAGGTGGAGAAGATAAATCTGTAAGCTGCATTTTCGGCAGGTGCTCTCTCCATGGCCATCGACGCAAACGGACATCTCAACAGTCTGACGGTCATCATCGTGATTCTGAAGGAATATGAAAGCAGTTACTCAAACACGTGAGTCTGTATTTTTCGTGAAGTTTAGTTGATTTTACAATTGTGTTCGTTTGGCGAGGAATGATCGTCAAAAGGCGAGAAGATTGTCTTCGATTTCCAAGAACATTCAATCGGTGAAGCGTTCGTCCAACATCAGACAAAGAGTAGGGTTTTGAAAGTCACCAGAAGAGAAGCTGCTTATTGTTTGTAAGCTGCATTCCAATCAGTGTGTGTTCCAGTATTCCGCCCTTTGAAATTGTGGGACGATTTTCTTCTGAAATCAGCATGGAAGTGACAATCTGGCAAAGCAACGGGGCTTGAGTTGAATCTCCTGCTCAGAGGTCCAGAGAGGACATAACATCTAGGGGAGTAGGTAGTTGTCAGCAGAGTGAGCAGCCGCAGTGAATAAGGAGGATTTCGGGGCCTTTCTTAGATAAGAATCTTGATGATTTCCTACTGTTTGAAACTGAAACGCACTTTACACCATGGATGCTCTCGTTGCTGCATACGAGTCTGAAGAGGACGACAAACCCCGCACTGAGGTCGAAAAAAATGGGCACCAGGGACCTTTGCTGGCGGAAATGAGGGCAAATTCTGATCAGAGAGAAGCGAAGCGAATGAAGATGATGCTTCCCTTTGACACAAGATCTTCTTTTCCGGCATCATCTGGCCGTGCCGACATTACTGCCGCAGGATTTATGCCAGTTGCTCCTCTTCCTCCCATCAGCAGTGGCATCGTACAGAGAAATCAGCAGGTCAGGCCCGCAGCTCTTCCTTTCCCGTCTGGCCGATACGTTTCGAAGAGGGAGCGAGCTGCTGCTGCCGCTTTAGCTGACTCTACTGCGTGTCCCATTCCGTCTGCAACAGCCCGTCCACCACCTGGTAAATTTCCTCTCCCTTTTGAATTCTTCTCACCCTCCTCACAATCCACTCTCGAGCAAATTCAAAAGGAATATTTACAGGTTCCTCATCATCCGCCCTCAGATTCGAAGTGGTGTTTAAAGCTTTTGCCTGTACATTGCTGAATTTTGAAAGCCTTGAAGAGGGTCTTGTGGCTTGAGTTAGCCAAATCGGCAAATAATGTGGCTGCTCTGATTTGCTGTAAGAGTAATAGTCAAGGTAATCGCCATGGAGAAAGTAAGTGGCATGTTTTGCTCTTCGAGCAAAACAGGAGCAGGGTAGTGGAGACGGTTCTGATCTGACTACGTAGCGTATACATCTTGCAGATGGTAATATACAATCATGAGCAGCTAAGACTCAAGTTCCCTAGTTAGTCCAGCCCGTAGTATACATTGTTGAGGTCACTTGGCTACATTCTTGAATTTAGCCTGCAAGAATACTACATTTTCCATGAGGCATTTTTTGTTCCCATAACATGTACCTCTTTGCTTACGGCTTGCTTCTTGTTTGTCTCTTGCTAGTCGCTAGATTATGTTGTCCGGGGATCTGAGATTTTGGTGACAGATCATGTCCATAACTTTGCAGGCGTGAAGAACATTTTGACATCTGAACTACCTCATCACATTCGAAAGAAGCTAGAGAACATCGATCCTCACGCCGCTGACTTCAACCGGCTCCCAAAAGGTCTTGTTTGCCAGTTAGAGGGCCACATCAAAGGCATCAATGCTGCACGATGGTCTCCAACTCATGGTAAGCAAAGTCTTTCTTCTTTATTCATTGATCTTCTTTATAGCTTCCTTTTCAAGAAAGTCAGGGAAAATCTTCCGTTTCGAGAATAGAAACGAAAATTCTGCTTCACAGATGAATTGCTCTAGCAAATTTTCCCAATTTCAGAGGTGTGAGCCTCCAGCTCCTTAGTACTTGGTGGGTCTGCCACATAAGCACTATGTATCTCACATTCAGCAGCCTAATTTCCATGACCGAAATTTTATTATGTCATGCTTTCATAAGATCTTCTATGAGTTATTCCACAGAAGTCTGGCAAGTAACGGTGCTAAGCCAGTGGTTTGAAACCGAGGACGTTTTTTAGGCTCATCAGTTTTCTCTAGACTTTGTCAGAACCATGAATACTCGCTCTTAGTCTTTCTAACATCTTTTCGAGCATGGACAGGAAACATCATATATGTTCTATTCTGCATCCAATATCAGAATGACGTTACGAATGTCTGTAGTAATGTAAATCTGCAACCTCATTACTCGAAGTAAGCTCACAATATCATCTTGTATGCTTGCTAACGAGGAATTCTTGTTGTGTTCAGCCTCATTACTTGCATCAGCGGGGATGGATAACCTAGCCCGCATCTGGAACGTTTGGAATGCCTCAGATCAACAAATGGTACAACAGCTGAGTTCTCACACTGCTGCGGTGAAGGACATCCAATGGTCTACAGATGGAAAACATTTGCTAAGTTGTGGGTTTGACAAGGTAGCTAGGCTTACTGATGTGGAATATGGGTCAGAGATCAAAGTATTTGCGGACGAGAATGTCATGAATGTTGTCAGATTTCACCCACTGGAAGATGGAAGCTTTTTAGCTGGAGGTGGAAAGGGCACTATAAAATTATGGGACATACGAAGTGGAAAACCTGTGAAAGAGTACTCCAAGAGTCTCGGGCAAATTTTAGATCTAGATTTTAACAAGGACGGAAAGCGTTTTGTTTCCACGTCAGATATTGCCAAGCGAAATGCAAGTGACAGGGCAATAATTGTTTGGGACTATAATAAACAAATCGCGCTTTCAAATCAGGTCCGCTTTTCTGCTCCTTCCAAATCTGATTTGTGCTCTGTAGATCACAGTTCTTGGGCTTGGTTACAAAGCAGTTGGCTCTTTGTTGGGGGGAACAATATCATACATTCCCTGCATCTTATAGGTTTCTCAGCTTTTAATCAATTATCTGATTAGTTACCTTCCTGTTGCCATGCTTCTTTTAGAATTGTTTTCTGCAAATCTTCTGTGGTTAGTCAATGCATTACATACGTCCTGCATTTTTATCCGAGTAAAATTACAGCTTTCGCCTAGTGGAAACATTGTCCGATTGTGGTCATTACCTACTTGTTTCATCACGATTAGCGCTTTTATTCCATACATACTTGTTCCATACATACATCATTGAAGCTCAGCTCTTTCCGAATTAAATGATTAGCTGCAATATAGACGTCACCTTTAGTTTGATTAACACATACAGTGACGTTTTGAACCACCTACCGTAGCCAGGGATGGGAGCCGAGAAGTACAATGCAAAGCAAAGCTGTGCTGTATGGTCTTCAACCTCCCTGGCTTAAAATATTCAGCACCATAGGCTAGAAGAGAGTTACATCGACCTAAGGTTATACAGCCCATGCGCATGTATTTGTCTATTTGTATTCCTCTACCAGTCAGTGTTCGGCTACTTAGCTCTTGTAGGATACAGGTCAATACCTTGACTTGTTTAGTCCGTCTAATTGGAGTCAGTTACGTGTCGGTCGATTTCTACGGTACCATGCGTTCTCATAACATCACTGTTTTATGGTATTCAGTAATCGATCAAATATAATTTGTTACTTCCATGCACCTCTACATCATTTCTAAGTCTCATCGAATGTTCTCATCATGTCTGTTGCTTCAGGTTTATTTGGAGGCCTACACGTGCCCGTCTGTGCGCTATCATCCCTTCGAAGAGACCTTCATCGCTCAGTCTAATGCCAGCTACATCGCAATATTTTCTGGTAGACCACCTTACAAGATGAACAGGTACAAACGCTTCGAGGGACATGAAGTCTCAGCAAATCGTATTCACTGCAACTTCAGCCCTGATGGGGCTTTTGTAGTCACAGGATCCGCCGATGGATCAACGTATTATTACAGTTTTCGATCCTCTAAATTGTTAAGAAATTTTCAGAGTCACCAGCAAGTCTGTACAGACGTTTCTTTTCACCCTGTCCTACCTTCGGTGGTGGTCTCTTGCGGTTGGGATGGGCGAATATGTGTATATGAATAAAAGTAGAAAACGCATCCTTGTTTCAGTCGAGGAGGGATGTCTCGTCAGCCGGAGGTCAATTGTTTCTGGATTGGATGAGTAAGTAGATGAATGAATCTTAGAGGAACAGTCCCCACGAGTAGAGATAAGTAAGCGGACTAGAGAATGTTTGATGGTGTAGGTGCAGTAGTACTAGAAGACAGTACTCGTTATGTGGTCTACTCAATCAACTCGAATGCCTGTCGTTCGTTGGAGGCATTCTACGTGATTTACGCCTTTATGTTCAAGGCGGCCAGCTCTCGATCACCGGCTTGGGAGGCTAGATTCGGTAGCCTGCACTCGGCTGGGTTGGCGATAAAACTATCACGTTTTTTGACATAAAAACATTTCCTGAAGGCTTGCCCGAGACGGCAAAGCAGAAGGGATAGCCGTTGATGTTACCACAAACATTCTGGCCTCGCCTATAAACGAAGAACTGAAATCGGCAGTGGTGATCACCAAACAAAGCGGGAGGCAAAGCGAACTTGATGTTATGTTACATGTGGTATACGTGACAAAACTACTCGTACCTACATGTTTTTACATCGATAGTAACTGCTTTCAAATTAGTTGGCTGTGTTTGCGCTATCGTTGCAGTCATCCATCTGTGGTGAAGTATTTTGCATCTCTTAGCTCCGCAACTTCTCTTTCCAGATTTTCGGAGATCTGAGTGAATCATTGATAATATAGCGCATTATAAACCTTAGAACTTAAGTAGCCATATTTATATTGTAAATTGGTAATACAAATATATCATTTGAATAGTATAATTTCCCATGTATTTGTCTCAAACTTTTACAAAAGTATTATATTTATTCCTTTGGTAAATGATTTTTATAAACACATTTTAGCAAAGATTATTAAAATATATTTAAATCAGATTGTTGAAGCACATGACGACATATCATCACAGAACCAACATTAACACGGAGAAAGTTAAAGTGATTAATGTGTAGTCTACATGCTCGGGAGAATTGAGTAGTTTATCAAAATTTTTCAATCAAGTCAAGAGTTTAATCTAGCCAAAACCCTAGAGCCAAGTCTAGCCGAAACCCTAAAGTCAAGTCAATAGTAATGAACCTAACGATTTTTTCTTTAACACAAGTAGAAGTACAAGAATCTCAATAAACTATAAAATTATTTTATTTATAATCATAGAATTAAATATAGTAATTTTTTTTCTTTAAACTAGAGTTAACTAAAACTAAGTCATAATTAAAATATGATAAAGTAAAAATATATAAAATTAATTAAAATGATAATAAATTTTGCTTGTTCTCATAAAAACATAATGTTTCATAAAATTTTCAAAAGTAATAATTTTGGTCAATATATCAACTACATTGAATTTATTATCAATTTTGATTAACTTAATACTTTTAACAAAAAATTTTTGTGTGATAAAGTGACCCCTAATATAAATATGTTTCATTCAATTGTACATTGTTTGATTTGTAATAAGATGCAATGCACTTTGGCTATCACATACTAACATTTTCAACAAATTTAAATCTATTTTAATGATAAACCTTCAATCAAATAGCTTGCTGTGCTGTTGATATATATTATGTTTCCATTGTAGATTGATACACTAATTTTGATAATGTAGATTCATAATTAATACATCCATCATCAAATTTAAACACATATCTAGTTGTAGAGTTTGTACTGACCATATTTTATCTAGAATCAACATCAAAATAGCATAGCAAGTATTTGATATTGTCTTGTAAGTCATCAAACGATAAATCATAATCCCAAGTATATTACAAGTAACTAAAAATTCATTTCATCACTTTTTGATGCATTTTTTCTAGGTTTGGTATGTATCAGTTCGCATTGCTCATAGCTAGAGCAATATTAGATCTTGATCACACCATCAAATATGAGATTATTTACATTTTTGTCAGAGGGACATAGAGCTGCAAGAAGTTTAAAATAAGCTGTCAAAGAAATCAATTGTTACCATTTTTAGTTAAAAAAAATTAAAGTAAAAGTTATTCAAGATAAATTTATAAATACTTTAGAGTGCACTAGTCATAGTTACCATTTCAGCGATTTGTGTGCTTGGTAAATAGAGAGTAATTGTGTTAGTTGACAGTGTCACGTTAAATAATCATTGTGTTTGTTAGAATTATCTGTCATACATATATCCACTATGAGTGAAATAAATGATATAATGAAATTTAATCTATTTATACTTGTTAGTAAAATCTATATGAAAAACAATAGTACCTTTATTGGTATCTTTCATCTTCATAGATTTAATTTTTATCTTCAAGTAAACTTTAGTGTTATAATGATTTTAGAGCAATCTTGTTATTTCCTTGAATGTGAATTATACTCATGAAATATCAAATGAGTGATGATAGAGTGTAATTGTGATAGTATATAGAGGCTAGCAGAGATCATTGATCTAGATGTAAAGACATGATAAAAGTGTACAATTATGATTTGCTGATAGGAATCAAATACCGCACTAGTTAATTTCTAATGTATTCAATAATCATCTTCGATGCATGGAAAAATATCATTTTTGGATGTATATTGTGGCTTGTAGGGATGCAAATTTTATAATCCGAGTGATGAAATAAAGAGTGACATTGATAATTCCATTAATTAGTTATCGAAAAACTTAAGATTGTATTTAATATATTTTATAATAAATATTCAATGAATTTGAATCACAAATCATCCGCTCTAATTTAAAATTTGAACAATATATCAATTGAAGAGAATATGTAACAATCTTTACTTCGTTAGAACTAAAGTAGAGTCAACACAACATATTTATATAGTTACTTTAACGTGCACTAGTCATGGTTATCACGTCAACGATCCGCGTGCTTGATAGGTAGAAAACAAATGTGTTAATTGACACCGCCATGTCAGCGACTTGTGTAATTCTTACGTGATAATTGAATGTGTTAGTTGGAAGAACCACGATAGCAATCCGTGTAGTTGTTAGAGTTATCATCCACATCATCTATCCACTAAAAACGGATTGGATGAAATCTTATCTCATTTTATTTGTTGATTAGAGCTAAGGGAGAGGAGAACCATTGTTGTTATCTTTCATATTTGGAGTTTATGTTTTCATTTTAAATTGAAATTCTCTTTAAACCATAGTGTTACAAAATGTGGAAATATTTTTTTGTGAAAAATTACGAGAAAGATTATTATAGAACTGTTAGAAAATCACATATATCATTTATGACTCTTTTGTTTAGAGTTTAGATAGTTATTTTACTTACATTATATTAGAGTGAATATGAAAACATTATTTGATATGGATGAGGTTTTCAATGGAATCATAACGAAGATGAAAGAGTTGAAAAATAATAATAAGATATGAGCATACAAAGTAGCAAGTCATGGAAGATGAAATCTTTATATTGGAGAGTTAGAAAATAAAGAGAGAAAAATTTGAAAAGATGGAAGTTGAACCTTAAGTTCAAACTTCCCAAATTCACCAAGAACCTGAGTGATGTAGCTGAAGCAAATAGAAGACATTGTCAAAAGATTAAATATCAAACAAATTTTTTGCATTGAATGCAAAAGTCATGTAAGATGTATGTACACAAAGAGAATAGAGTGATGAAAGTTTTAAAGATATGTATAATGAGGATAAATATCCATTAATCAAATTTACATGTTTCTGATTTTATTGTAGTACTGTTAATGAGATTTTATCTTATGGATAAGATTCTTACATGGTACACTACATGGAAACAAATGCTTCCAAAACAACGTGCTATCATTTTATAGAATGTAGTGCAAAAGAAATTTCTGCCAAATTTTTAAATGTCATATTCTTTTTAAACTATAAGTATGAGATTGTGTAATTTAAAATAAAAAATATATTTACCTAAATATATTGAAAAATTTTGTGATCTTCAAATATCTATCATAAATATGAGTGAAGAAGAAAACTTGAATGTTTTCAAACAAGGCTTGAAGGATTGCATTAGAAAGTATCTAACAATAAGCTCGATAACGTAGTTTTTCATTTTTTTTTTGAAAAAGATGAAGTTTGAGTAGTAGATGAATAAAAATATATACTTTCAAGATAATAAGAATAATTAGAAGTAGATAAAATAAAAAAATTGTAGAAAAGTACAAGTTAGTAATAGTTGGAATCTATGTTAGATACCACTCTCTTGGAGTTAGTGTTGTCACTTGCAGACAATGAAGTTAAATTAAATGAATTATGATCTACTAGAGTAGATTTTAATAACTTTTTTATTTAATGGTAAATTAACTTAGGCAAAATTTTGATAGACAATGCTTGGAGTGATTGTTCTAACAAGACCAAAAACTCTGGAAATTGATGAGGGAATTCCGAGTTATAAGTGTAAGAACATATGGCTGACATGATAAGGCAAAGACAAAGAAGTACCTTCGGCTTTATAGCCAAAGGGACTTCGTCTTAGTGAAAGGCGACGTCGATCGGAAGGAAAAATTTGTCCTTCGTACCACCAATTTGCACGTGTTCACAATGCGATTAGCACGTCGAGAGATATTAGCAGGAACGAGAGTTTCGCACTTACATTTCCGGAGAATGCATTTTAAATTGGGAATTCAGCGAGGATCGCGAGTGAGAAATTGAGAGCGCAGCAATCAGGAAGAGCTTTGGGACTTCGATTGAAGGTATTGAAAGTGCCGGAGTTTGGATTGAGAGCATATCGCGAAGAGCTGAAAGCCGCCAAGCTCAATTTCTTGCTTTGGGGTTGGAATTAGGTTTCAACGCCGATTGTGAAGAAGTGGCATGAGGGACAAAGCAAGAGTACAACGGAATTCTTGGCAATCTTAATAGTTGGACGATTGAGCACTGGGCTCAAGTCTTGGGGTCCTGTGTAGATAAGGCGGGCGATTACATCTATGACAGTCAAAGCGTGAAGATGACACAGTCCGAGTAGAAGACATTCGCGAAGTTATTCTAGACACCTTGCTTGTCCAAGAATGGATGATGGACGATGGATTACCGCGATCCACTGAGACTCAATATGGCGGTGGCCCTAATGTAGATTCTGTGGCCTTCGCGAATGACGTACATGACATGTTGGCAAGTAGAATTTGTGGAACGCGAAGTGGCGGGGAAGCCAATTCACTTGGCTCGCATCTTGTGGAGTACCAATCACAGGAATGTCAAGGACATGTTTGAAGGATCAATGAATTATCTGTTCCTGTCTTTATCAATTTCTATCGAGTTATGAGATTATTGACCGAAGAAGAGATTCGAAACTTCTCGCTTGAGAGGGAGATTGCGCGATCAGATGACGAAGGAGTGCTGGAAGATAACAAAGTTGTCAGTGATGATGACGTTGAACCTGCACTGCCTTCAGTCAAAGTTGACATGTCTGAAGATTACGTTTAGGAACATACCGCAAAAAGAAGAAGGAAATTTCAGATGCCTTTGGCTTCAGAGGTTGTTGGTCGACGTATCAAATTGCGGACCAAGAGGCCAATTCCTATGCGAATGAGGACGACAAGTACGCATTCGAGCACTAAGGTGAAGGCACGCCGACAAAAAGAGGAAGTGGAAAGTATGGAGTGAAGTGAAGCAATTTTGCAACATCAACTAACTTCGGTAGAATGGGCTGAAGTGGAAGCGTAAGAAACAGAAACGCAAGACGAATGAGTTTTGACAAAAGATCTTCGGCCTTTGAAGTGACAAGCAGTTGCAGTTGAGGAGCAGTTGTTTGAGGCTCAAGCAAAA